GCTAAGCCCCGGGTATGGAACCTGAGGCCTAGAGACCAAACACGGCCTCTCTAGAAGTCTGAACTCTCCCCAGGCCATGTCTCCTCCTCTCCTTAGGTCAAGCCCCTCATTGAGCCTGATCTGCACTCCTAGCATTTCACCTGGCTGAAAGGTGTCACTGGACTCTGATAACACTAGTCTTAATGGAGGATAGAGATGGGTGTGCATGTGTTTTGAAACTAGCCTGTGGTACAAAAGTAGTATTTGCACTCCACCCACCATTGGCATGTGGCCTTCAGAAGTTGCCTAGACGAGAATGTGACTGAAAATGGCACCACACCCCTGCTCAAAGCCAGTGTCCACTTTTGATCTAAATTAATTTCCGCTATTGTTCCCCTACACCCAAACAGCTTCTGCCTCACAATTACTCCCGACTTTCTGCAGTTAACTGTTTTGCTTTGCCTTTCCTGTTTCCTGCTTTCTTTCGCTCTTCCCAGTTTTCATTTACTTAACCTGACTCAGTTAAGAATAAAATAAGAAATACCAACCTTTTCTCCACAGGCCTCTTATTGTTAGCGTTCAATTATTGGAAAAAAAATAAATTATTCTGAACATTAAAATGCAGAAGCATGGAGGAAGCCTTTCCCCCTAAACCCCAAACATTGATGCCTGTCATTCCCTTCACTAGCAATAGTGGTTGTGGTCTAAAAGTCTCCATAAAGGCATTTATCAAGGCAGCTGAGCCATAATTTTATCAGCTCCCCTGCCTCTTCCCCAGTGCAATAACAGTATGGCTTCTGTGCTCACTTAGCACTGGCAAAGTGACAAAATAATGAGAGAAGATAGCTAGACTTTGTTTCATTTGTTTTATAGAAGGCTGGAGCTCTGTAATGCAGGACTGTTGGGTAAGTAATTTGGCCTGGTATCGCAAAGGCTGAAGACTGTCAAATGGCTCTGGGAACAAAGCCATCCGATCTGATGCCATTGAACGAATGGTCATAGTACAACTATTAAATCTTTGGTTTTTCTCACAAACAGATAGTCCTAACCCTTTTCAACAATCCAGCTAATTAGGGAGGGAGTTAACAAAGGCAGTGTGTGTATATAATATATGTGTATGTATATATATTTCCTCGCACAGATTGAGTTAAGAGCTTGCAGCTATGAAGTTCCGGCATCGAAATCAGCTGCCAGGATTGGAATTTGGTTAAGTTCCCTATCCCCCATAACAAAGCCTGGCTCATAGACTGCATCTCATACCGGAAAAAGGCCAGTGGCTGAATTTATTTGGGCACAACTGTCTGTTTTCATATCTTGATTCGTCCCTTGCTTTGGAACCTGAGCCAACAATGATAGAGGAAAGCGTGCCCTTTCAAGAATTAAGGGTGTGTGTGTGTGCGCGCGCACGCACACACACGCACAGTGGAGAGACAGGGTTCCTCTGCAAGAAGAAGAAAAGACGGGATATTTGTTCCAAGCATTTTTGACAGTAAGAATGATGGAGAGAGGATGGTATTTTGCAGGGCAGCCTCCTGCGTGTGAGCTGGACTAGCCTGAGCAGAATAACTACAATCACAGGAGTGAAATTGCATGTGTCAGTGTCCTAAGGAGAGAAAAACAAACAGGGTTTATAATAGGTATATCTGCCATAATTCAGCTGTTGCATTTGAGGCCAGGTGGCAACTTCTACAGCCCACACAGTAGGGACTTGCTTGTACAATAGCATTGGGAGTGCAGAAAATCCAGAATATGTATGATACTATGTGGAGACTCTCTGGGGTTACCATGAAAGGGGCTTGACAATGTTACCGAGTTGACTTCATGATTTTGTTGGCTTGTAACATTCCACCAGAATGCTGGCATGAAACATTCCAGCAACAAACATTCAGAAACAAAGGACCTGTTTCCTCTGAATGCATTGATACTTGAAAGCTCCTGTTATTTCATGATTTGGGGAAAAGGTCAAGAGAAGAAGAACTGGAAAACTTGAAACAATTATTCATGGTCTTGGGGACCAGTTATCTAGAGAAGTATGCATCCATTTTGGTATAAATGGCAGAATCAATTATCATGGGTCACACTAGAAATGAGGAAAAAGAAGAAACATACATAGTAAATACGGCTCATGCTCTAGTTCACCCCACACCTAGCTCCTCACATTTTGCCTTATATCTCTCTTTCTTTAGGTGTTCAACACTTGCTTGATTTTTTTTTTTTTAAATGAGATATCTGAATCTGAGCCAGTGAATGAGCTAAACAGGTTCTGATACAATCCAGGTCATATGGCAACTTCATCTTAGCAACATAGCATCAAATTTTAAGGGTTGGATCTCCATCTGGGAGAAAGCAGCTAAGCTTTGTAAAACAAGAGAATATGTGTGTGTGTGTGTGTGTATATATATATATATATATATGTATGAAGTGTCCTTTCTTATCCATTGGACACCAGAGGTACAGTTTCTAAATTGTAGCCTATAGCAAACCATAGAGCCATCGGGCATGTTACCTTCAAAACAATGGCTCAGGATGTATATGTATATGTATACATATACATATATGTATATGTATATTATGCTGATAAAAACATGACTTCTCTAACACAGCAATGTAAGTTCAGTAGTAGGAGAGCAAACACAGAGACACATGCACACACATTCTGACATAAGTTTGCATGCCCCAAAATAGTCATTACTGAGTGGGATTGAAAAGCTCATATCAGCTCAAACCAGATGGTTTTCCATCTTTTATTCCAATGATTTTATTCCCATGATTACTTTGAATTCCTTTTGCCTCAAGGGCAGCTTGATGGTTGCCAACATGTTGCTCCCAGTAACTTTACTCAGCATTTCACACAGCATCTGTGTGAAGCTATTTTTTAAGAAAAGAGGGGAAATTATCATTAAAGGCAGAGGGAATATGTAACAAAAGGTGATGGCAGCTCTACAATGTCTCAGTTCCACTATTTTGAATCTATTTTGCCTTCTTTGAAATAATGTATGATCAGAAAATGACTAAGTTTGGAAACTTTAAGTTTCTTGTGAGAGTTTATATATATTTCAAACTTTAGCAATGGATAACTAGAGGTGAATGCAAAGGACACACACACACAAACAGTGGGGGACCCCAATTCATGTTGAAGAAAGTAGGCAACTGCAATCCATGGACACTGCATTCTTGTATTGAGACAAATACCTGAACACACCTGTTTCGTCAAAATGTCACCATATATTGTATGTGGCCTGCTGATTGGCTAAGGAGTGCAAGCAGTGAGAGAAACAGTGGCAGCTGCAAACAGTGGCAAACAGCCTTAAAAATAGGATTAAAGGAGTTTGGGGAGTCTGATAACCCTCCTCCTCCCCCCTCTACTTTTAAGTCAAGAGGTGAACTGGAACTATACCCTGGAGCTGAGCTTTAGTTCTTATGGAAACTACTAGTTCATGGTACTGGATGATTTATGTTGGTGGATCTGGGGAGGTTTACTTTCTACAGAATATGAGTTTTCCAATTAAGCACTAAGCTGCTGTTTGCAAAAGGGATTTCTGTGGGGTTGCCAAGTCCTGGAATCAAAAATTAAACCAAATCTCAACCCACTACAAGATTTTAGGGCCATCTGGCTTGTAGCACAAAAATGATCCTCGACCTATAAAGTTTACGCTCTTAAGCAATCACTGACACTACAGTTATAAACCTTTCAAACATGTGTACTATATTCACCCATCCATGCATTTAAAATATTAGCTGGTCTTATCCTATCCTCCTGTAAAATGTTTTAGCAAAGAATCTAGGGCACATTTTTTTGCTCTATAATGTAATTGTACTAGAAATGGGGGCAGGGTGTCATGAAGCATATCTCAGCATATTCATACATATATGTTCATATGTAGTGGACACTGTATTATAAGACTCATATTTAAGGAAAGAAAATAGCAATATTCACTACATGGTAAAACATTGTTTCACACTCATTATGTACTCCAGCCTCCAATGCCTTGGGTGATATCTTCAGAGAAGAAAAGGTTAAGGAGCCTTGGGACTGCCACAAGGGATGCCACAACTATTATTTAGACTGCAGCATGAGAGACAGGGAAACAAAATTTTAGCATTTCACAGGGTGCTGCCAAAATTTGAGACCCCAAGGTCTACCACTGATGCAGATGTGGTAGAGCACATGTTTTTCATGCTAAAGTTTCCAGGTTCAATCCCTGATGTCTCCAGGTAGGGCTAGGAAAGACTCCAGACTGAAAACCCAGAGAACAACTGCTGGTCATTGTAGACAATGCTAGTTCCACTCTAAGGAGGAGGCAAATTTGCCCCACCCAGATCCAGAGGAAGTATCAAGAGACTTTGTCCCTTAGGAAATAGTAGAATTCCAGGCAGTGAACAGTAGATGAAAAATGGGGAGCCTCAAAAGCCAGTCAAGGGTGCTCTCCAAATTCCTACTCAGCCCCTCCCAAAGGTAAACTAGTATGACTCACACTGCTAATGGTGAGAGGGCAAGCACTGAAAGGGAAGAGGAAGAAGGTCAAAGTGAGAGGGAGAAGTCTTAAATACCTGCCCTTTTGTGAATGGCCCAAAGGACTCACAATGTCTTCATTTCCTTCACTTCCTTAGAGATTTCTGTGAGTATTTATTCATTTACTCATATTTCTGATAGGTATTTAGTATGGGCAGATGATGGAACTTAAGAATGTCAAGAATAGGCATCCTGGCACATTGTTGGGCATTTAAACACCTTCCATTGTCTTTGGCTTGGTGGACTCTTTTTGGGAGGGCATCGTTTTGGACCTGATGTGCATCTTTCCATGACAAACAGCAGGACCAGGTTGCACATGTAGGATTACCAGTACCCATTAGCAAAATTCAAAACCCTGAAAGAGCAGTCCTCTCTTCACATGACGCAACATAGTATAATATGTTGCCTTATACTGTGTCCAGCCAGTGGTCCATCTAACTCAGAATTGTCTATGTTCACTGGCAGTGGTTCTCTGTAGTTTCAGGAAGGGTTGTCTCCCAACCCTGCCTGGATACACCAGGGATTGAATCTGAGATCTTCTGCATGCAAAGCAGATACTAGTACTCTACTACTGAACTATGGCCCACCTCACTTAGCAGCACCCCTACAACATTATTAGTTGCAAAAAAAAATATGTTGTTTTTATCTTGCGGCACATCCAAAGTGGAAATAATTTCCTCTCCTCAGAGATGGGCCAAGTGGTTAATTAATGAATCTAGGCAGCCAATAATGATGTCGTCCAATTACAGATCTATTAGGAAGGCTGCACAGAGTTGAGTGAAGAAAACACAAGCTCTGTGCTGATGCTTGATCTGTCTTCCAATGCACAGCATGGTGATGCATTTTGCTTGTGCCCACTGGATCATCCCTCTAAGCACTCCAGCTATATCTTCAGGCTCCCATCTGCACAGGTTCCTACACCACATACATTGAAATGCATGCGGGCTCAGATCCTGCAGCCTGTAACCTATATTACTGTACAAATCCAGCTACCAATAGCATGATCACAGCCTTTCCATACTGGGATGCATACAGACATGACCTTGATGCATGGATATTGGGAGTGGAACTAGCAGGCACACTACCAATCAGCAATCTCCCCACCTCCCAATTGATATACAAGTCTGTACACCTTCCAACCACCTGCAAATTGTTTGTCATTCAGTATTATCAAGGGGAAAAAATTGAATCTTCCATCAGAGACAAAGGTAGTAGAAAATTATTTTTTCTGTATTATATGGGATAAAAGCAGGCACCTTGAGAGCATTTATTTCAGTATGTGGTTTAGGTAAGCTTGTTTTGCATGTGATTTTTGTGCTTTAACATCTTCCTAGGAATGCTTGATAAATATCAAAGCTCAACATCTAATACCCAGTGTTTTCTCAATGAGATACACAATCTCTAGCAGACAGATATTTTCAATACATTGTTTATGTGCTGCATTTCAAAGGGCTTCTTCTCCTGAGATTTCTAAACATGAATAATATAAAGTATAACCTAATTTCCCCCCCCCAAGAAAAAAAAGTAATCAAGCAAGGGCTGTAGTGAAACAGGAGTGATGCTCTGGCATTTTGCCTGAAGTTATTTATTTGTTTCCATGCTGCAGAAATACTTTTCTTTGTCTGTTCTCATTCCCCGCTTCCCTAAGACTTTTCATTCTTTTCCTCCTTTTTGTCTCATTTTCAGATACTGAATCATGATCAAATGGAAGTCCTGCTTACTTCTTTCCAATTCTTCTCCTTCTCTGACTGGCACTTCCTTGTTGACTGAGTGCTTCTATTGTTTCCTTCCTTCAAGTTTGTAACCTCCACTATTATCTTCCATTCTTTTCTTTTCTTTCCCCACATATCCACTCAATTCTTTATCTTGTCACTTTTATCTTGGTTTTGTCTATGAACTGTGCCCTGTTCTTTCTTTAGATCCCGTTAAAATGTGTATCTCACAAAGTGGGCTTGACTTTACAAAAACTTGTGCCATAATAAATTTGTTGGTCTTTAAGGTGCCACAAAGACTCTTTGATGGTTTTTGCTACAAGAAACTAACCCGGTTCCCCCTCTGGAAATTGAAACTCTTGATCTCTCTTTCCTTATTGCTCACATTGATGATTGCAGCACACCTTTGCTCACACTTCCTTCTTGTTTGCTCAAACCTCTCTTGCATGTCTTATTTCTTCAGCTCACCTAATCTGTTCTCTCCTTGTCCGCTTTCAGCATTGGCTACCTACCTCTATTCTATTTAGCCACCTATGATAGGGGTTGCCAACACACAGTTCATAGGAACAAGAGTACAGTGGTACCTCGGGTTACATACCCTTCAAGTTACATCCGCTTCAGGTTACAGACTCCGCTAACCCAGAAATAGCACCTTGGGTTAAGAACTTTGCTTCAGGATGAGAACAGAAATCATGCTCTGGCGGCATGGCAGCAGCAGGAGGTCCCATTAGCTAAAGTGGTGCTTCAGGTTAAGAACAGTTTCAGGTTAAGAACGGACCTCCGGAACGAATTAAGTACTTAACCCAAGGTACCACTGTTCCCCTCAGTATCTCCTATGGGACGCATGAAAGTTATCAGTAAACATCTCAAAAATCCACAATGCACAAGAAACGATGTGTTTTTCCTGTCCAAGTCTTGTTTGCAGCAGCTCAGATTTTCCTACACTGACCAAAACCATATAAACATGTCCACATTCCATTGGATTCCAGGATTCCTTCTTGGCTTCCACCTACCATCTTCTATTGATGTACATTTAAATGACTAATAAAACTTGTATCAGCACAAAGCCTATGAACTATTACACTGTATCATCCAGGGCTGGTTCACCCATGAGGTGGGCTGAAGCAGTTGCCTTGGGTGGTGGAATCCCACGGGGCAGGACCCACATGGGCGCCTCACCTGCATCTGCCATCACCTGGGTCATGTGACTGCTTCAGTAGCTTCTTCTGGTGAGATCTTGCCAGAATAAGCCATCGCAGTCACACAACCCTGATAAGCAAGGCTTTTTCTGAGGGGGGAGCATGGAAGAAGCACTTGCCCATTTCACCTCAGGCAGCAAAATGGCACGGACCACTCCAAACTGTAACACAGACATCTACAAATCATCTGTAACAGTTTTTTCTCTCTTTGTTCATAGTTCTTTGGATCCAGCTCATCAACTTGGATCACAGTCTGCAGTAGAAGAACATTTGTGTAATCAGGCCTGCTGTCCTTTGCATTGCCCCACCCAGTGCTTTTCCCCCCCCATTAAAATAATGTTTAGGGGTACTCTCATTTTGATTCAAGAAAATCGCCATGTTATAGTTCAAATCAGGAAAAATAAATACAGTAAATGGACAAAAGTACAGTAACAAAATGTCGAGGGGTATGTGTACCCCTGCATGTTGTTGTTTAGTCGTTTAGTCGTGTCCGACTCTTCGTGACCCCATGAACCAGAGCACGCCAGGCACTTCTGTCTTCCACTGCCTCCCGCAGTTTGGTCAAACTCATGCTGGTAGCTTCAAGAACACTGTCCAACCATCTCGTCCTCTGTCATCCCCTTCTCCTTGTGCCCTCCATCTTTCCCAACATCAAGGTCTTTTCCAGGGAGTCTTCTCTTCTCATGAGGTGGCCAAAGTATTGGAGCCTCAGGTTCAGGACCTGTCCTTCCAGTGAGCACTCAGGGCTGATTCCCTTAAGAATGGATAGGTTTCTTCTTGCAGTCCATGGGAGTCTCAAGAGTCTCCAGCACCATAATTCAAAAGCATCAATTCTTTGGCGATCAGCCTTCTTTATGGTCCAGCTTTCACTTCCATGCATCACTACTGGGAAAACCATAGCTTTTACTATACGGACCTTTGTTGGCAAGACCCCTGCATACCCCCAGAAAAAAGCACTGGTCCCACCCCTTTATCTGCCTAGTCGTGCCCCGAGCTCTGATTCTTATCCCAGCTGGATGCAACAGTTATCAAATCCTTTACAAACCATCCTATAAGAGTAAGGAAAAGTCTTAGCTTGAAATCCAATATAATTGGAATCTGTTTCAAGAATTGTACTATTTAATCTAGCTGCTAGTCTTGCTCATGGGCATAACCTCATCTCTTTACTCAGCAGTTACTGTGTGCAAAACCTATGTCATGTTCCCCAACCCCCAGCAAAGCCATACATATATTTAGTCATTTAGTCAAAGAAAGGTTTCCTCACATAGCTATATGAGTCCGTTTCATTATCTCTCTTCTCCTAACCTGTTCTGAAGTCAAGAAATGTTAAGTTTTGCCCTTTCGCCATAGGTCAGCTGTGTGGGCAGACCAGAGCTTTGTGGAATCAATCACAGAACATATCAGTCCAAGCAGTGAACAAACACCCACACAATGTGGACAACGTCTACATTTACTGCCAGGCAGGAGGCCATAGGAACCCATTAGCGTGACAGCAGGATGCACGAACCACATAATTTCTAGTGGCGTAAGGACAGCTTAGTGTCTATTTGCATATACCTTTCTTCTCAAGGCCGCTATCTTTCTTAGCTGCAATTATCCTAGCTTTTGGCATGGAATCTATATACAGTATGAGGACAAGAAACCAGATTGTCCTGCTGTTTTGTCATTTCTGTGTTTGTTTTGTTTTTCAATTATTTTTATAGTTCTTATTTATTTTTCTGTAATCTACAATGGAATGCATTTTGGGGTGAAAGAAGAATAGAGATGTTTATATTACTATAATTATCATAGTCAACATTTACTTATTTTTTAAAAAAACATATATATATATTTATTATTCATTATTACATTCAAATCCTACCTCTGCTCCAAGGAGTTTAAAGTGGCATGCTCTTCTCCATTTTATCTTTACAATGATCCCATGAGGTGGCTTAGGCTGAGATAGTGACTTGCCCAAGGTCACCCAGGGGACTTCATGGCTGGGTGGGGATTTGAGCCCTGGTCTTCTGAATCCCAATCCAACCCTCTAACCACTTACCACTGCACTTCATCATCATATGATATCAGGGTAAGTCACCATAATAAATGGCATCATAACAAAGAATCACACAGAACTTTAAAGCAGCCATGGTACTCAAACCAGTATACATGTTATCCCTCACCCTTGCCCAATGCAGACAACATGTCTCTGAATAACCACACCCAAAAAGTCTGGAGGAAGAGGAAAGTTTTTAGTTGGCACTAGAAATGAATCAATGTTGGAGCTACCAGCTGTACGTAAAAGGGAAGGTTGTTTCATAGCCAACAAGCTACTACCAAGAAGCGACATTTTTCCACCTTCGCCGCATCAAGCAGTTGGTCCCTTACCTTTCCCGCCCTGACCTGGCCACAGTGATCCATGTAACGGTCATCTCCAGGCTTGACTACTGTAAGTCGCTCTACGTGGGGCTGCCCTTGAAGCTGTCCCAGAAACTCCAGCGGGTGCAGAATGCTGCAGCGAGGCTCCTCACGGGGTCTCTGCCATGGGAGCATATTCACCCAGTGCTTTTCAAGCTGCACTGGCTCCCAGTGGAGTACAGGGTCAGATTTAAGGTGCTGCTTTTGACCTTTAAAGCCCTTCACGGCCTAGGACCCTCGTACCTACGGGACTGCCTCTCCCAGTATGCCCCACG